AGAGTTTTTTTTTTTTTTTTTTTTTTAATTTATTTGTTTTTTTATTCATTTATTATATTTTTTTAATTAATTATTATTTATTTATTATTGTTATTTGGGGGGGGGGGTTAAAGTTCTGCAAGGTTCTCTTATGTGTGTTTTTTCTCTTTTATTTAAATGTATTATGTGTTCAAAACAAATGCAAATAAATATATTTTGGAAAAAAAAAAAAAAAAAAATAAATAAACATATTTAATAAATAAATACATAAAATAAGTAAATAAAGAACATAAAAATAAGACTTACAGGTGTAACATTTATCAGTTTATTTTGAGAAACGCGAGAACATTATAACGGAAAGAAATGCAAAACAACTAAAATACACTGAAGTAATGAAACACATTTGGTTTCTGGATGACACAAACTCCGTTATTTCTGGCATAAAGCAGAAAATGTTCACATTATCACCACCACTAATTAAAGAGCTTGACGAGATTGAATAAATCATATCTCATAGTATATTAATGCTACTATTACATACAGATAAAGTAGAATTAAAATAAATTGTGAGCCATCCATTCAGGACATTCAAAACACAAACGACACACATTTACACTTCAAAAACTAAAGTAAAGCACATAAATAACACACTGAAACTTGGATTATCATTTGTAAATTGATAAAAAAGATATTGCTTCCACATATCGCCATCTTTAAATTACACTAATTTATGACACGTATGAACATATCATAGATGTTAAATACATTCTTTCAGATTCACCTTGCTCATTCTGGGAAAAAAGCTGCTGTTATAAACTGAGAGAAGAAAAAGACTGCATGAAAAATTCTGGATATTGTTTTCAGGATGTAAGAGTGCGTGTTTGAGTGTTTTTGTATTATTTTATAAATGTCTAATAACAATTTATTCCAAATCTTAAATCAAAATATTGACATTTACAGAAATATATATAATTTATTATACAATTTGGTGTAAATAACAAACAATTTTACAATTGTTATGATCAAAAATCTGTGATATTTCACCAAATACTGATATTTACTAAACTCTTCTAAAGATAAAACATTGTTTTCTCAACATTTTTGTCTTGATTTTTGCACTACAAAAAATAAAACCACATAATAAAAACTATTTGTAAACAAATCATAAAATATTGCTTCCACATATCAACACGCTTAAATAAAACTAATTTCTGACACGCATATTCTAGATGTTTAATACATTCTTTCAGATTAATATCGCTCATTTTGGGCAAATAGTTGCTGCTAGGAGGGGAAAAAAAGAAGAAAGAGAGCACTTGATTTTTTGTCTGGATTTGCTTGATTTAAGTGTGTGTTTGAGTGAAATTATCGGTTTTATTTTATCATATAAATGTCTGATAATCTAAGTTTCAAATAAAACTATTGACATTTAGAGAATTATTTACTTTAAACAACGCTTGAAATAAATAAATCTAAATTGGGTGTGAATAACAAACATTTTCACAATTGTTATGACTGAAAATCAGTGTTATTTCACCAAATATTGATGTTTTTCACGTGTGTTGTGATTGTAAATAAGTGATATTTCACCAAATCCTGTTATTTATTGAACTCTTCAGAAGATAAAACAATGTTTTGTCCACATTCTTGCCTTGATAATTAAACAAACAGAAGTAAAACAACACAGACAAACTCATTTGTAAATAAATTAAATAATATTGCTTCCACATATCATCACCTTTACATTACACTAATTTATGACACGTATGAACATATCTTACATGTTAAATACATTCTTTCAGATTCACCTTGCTCATTTTGAGAAAAAAGCTGCTGTTTTAAACTGAGAGAAGAAAAAGACTGCATGAAAAATTCTGGATATTATTTTCAGGATTTAAGAGTGTGTGTTTAAGTGATATGATGTTTTTGTTTAATTCTATAAATGTCTGATAACATTTTATTCCAAATCTTAAATCTAAATATTGACATTTACAAAAATATTTATAATTATATTATATAATTTGGTGTAAATATCAAACAATTTTACAATTGTTATGATCAAAAATCAGTGATATTTCACCAAACACTGATATTTATTAAACTCTACTGAAGATAAAACATTGTTTTCTCAACATTTTTGTCTTGATTCTTGCACTGCAAACATTAGGTAAAACCACATAATAAAAACTGTTTGTAAACAAATCATAAAATATTGCTTCCACATTTCAACATCCTTTATTACACTAATTTCTGACACGCATATTATACAGGGTGGGCCTATTATATGGATACACCTTAACCTGTTAGCCAGCACTCAATTTTGGGGATTTACACCTACCTAACTTTAAATAGTGACAGTTCCTGACTCCAGTAAGCTACAAACACAAATCATGTATCATTGGAAAGAAGACACTTTGAGCTTTACTGTGGTAAAAGGAGAAAAAAATTAAAAAGTTATACATTATGAAGTCATGAGGGGAAAAAAAATTGTATTGTGTTCAATATTTATTTTCATACACTGTAAAAAGTGAAAACTTAAACAAATTACTTGGACTTGTTCCAATTAAATGAATTAAGTTTGACTAACTTAATTTATGACAGTTTTCTGTAAAAAAAATTAAATGAGTTATTTTAGGTGTAACAGGCTTTAGTAATTTATGTTAGAAAACAAGAATGGAACAGCACATACAGTAAAGTACAAATCATGCAATGCAATATTGTAAATATAATTATAATAGTAAAAAGTACTTTTATCACAGTAAAAATTATTCCCATTCAGTTTTATTTTATCATATGAATGTCTGACAATCTAAGTTTCAAATAAAACTATTGACATTTAGAGAATTATTTACTTTAAACAATGCTTGAAATAAATAAATCTAAATTGGGTGTAAATAACAAACATTTTCATAATTGTTATGACTGATAATCAGTGTTGTTTCACCAAATATTGATGTTTTTCACGTGTGTTGTGATTGTAAATAAGTGATATTTCACCAAATCCTGTTATTTATTAAACTCTTCATATGATAAAACAATGTTTTGTCCACATTCTTGCCTTGATAATTTACAAACAAAAGTAAAACAACACAGATAAACTCATTTGTAAATAAATTAAATAATATTGCTTCCTTCCTTCTTAATATAAAAATAGTACTTTAATGTCTTGTGGCAAATACAAGTATTGTTTATTATTGATAGTGAACAATATTTATACTTGCCATAAATAACTTACTAAAACCTGTTACACCTAAAAGAACTAACTTAATTTATTACTGAAAACTGTTATAAATTAAGTTTGTCTAACTTAATTCATTTAATTGGAACAAGTCCAAGTAATTTGTTTAAGTTTTCACTTTTTACAGTGTATGAAAATAAATATTGAACACAATACAATTTTTTTTCCCCTCATGACTTCATAATGTATAACTTTTTAATTTTTTTCTCCTTTTACCACAGTAAAGCTCAAAGTGTCTTCTTTCCAATGATACATGATTTGTGTTTGTAGCTTACTGGAGTCAGGAACTGTCACTATTTAAAGTTAGGTAGGTGTAAATCCCCAAAATTGAGTGCTGGCTAACAGGTTAAGGTGTATCCATATAAATGGCCCACCCTGTATAATATGCGTGTCAGAAATTAGTGTAATAAAGGATGTTGAAATGTGGAAGCAATATTTTATGATTTGTTTACAAACAGTTTTTATTATGTGGTTTTACCTAATGTTTGCAGTGCAAGAATCAAGACAAAAATGTTGAGAAAACAATGTTTTATCTTCAGTA